AAACACTGAGCCTTAATTGAAATCAAATGTATATTTTTCAAAAGCATGTCCAGCATCATAGACTCCTTTTTGTTGGGGTTTTGTTGACATTAGCAATGGTATAGCAACCTCATCAGTAAGGTTTGCTGTTATTAGTGTTTTGAATACAAACCTTGTGCTTTTCAGGACTCTTAAGTAGCTGATTAGAGGAGGGAGTAATAGTCTACTTGATTATTGGTTACACATGGAATAAATCCTATTTTAATCGTGTCTAATGAGCCTTTCATTTTTAGAACCTTACACAAAAGCCCCTAATAGAAATGGAAATTAATATTTCAAAGGTCATCTTAATGTTACTTAATGTCAACAATCCATGGTCAAACTAATATATAGAGATACTGATTACAGTCCAGTGTGATTCTTTAAATATGAAATAATTTTCTAAATTAGCAAAGTGGTGCAATCTAAGGCTTTAGGTTTGAGGCAACTTAAAATTTCTAATTAAAGTTTGTTATTAAAAACAGCCTCAGAGTTAAAAAGATTATTCTCAGGGTGAGACTTCATGCAATGCAGTATTTTAAAGTTCTGTCATTTACAGTTTCATGCACTGCTGTCATGTGCGTCTGTAATTCCACTGAAATGTGCAAACGGAAAATGAGGGCTCCCCTTAAGTGCTTTTTCTCAACAGGAGAGTGTGATGCCCAGTAGAAATGTAGAATGTTTTCTTGGTCAGGAGGCCACCAAGGGAACTTGGAGGCACAAATATTTTAGTACCAGACATCTGCTGGGTAGCAGATTTAAGTTGGGAAATTAAAGAATTTCTAGTAAGAGACTGGCATTCCGGGATTTTTGTCCCATTTGCTATGTGAATGAAGATAACCCTGCCCGACCTTGGGATGGAGGTATTCTCTTTCTAGTTCTAGGATAGCTGCTACCATGGTCATCTATAGGACTCTTTTCCAAATTAGAAGTTGGTGAATCCTCCAAAGCACATTCCTTTTGTCCAAAGATTGCTATAAGAAAATGGACAGTGATCCCAGTGGGAGTGGCATTTCCTGTCTCACCTGTTCACACATCAGAATCTTCTAGAGGGTTTGTTTGTACTCAGATGGCCAGGCCTCACCCCTGGTGTTCTGACTCTGTCTGGGGAAGGGTCAGAGAACTCATATTTCTGAAAAGTTTGAAGGTGATGCTAATGCTGATGCTGGTCTGGGAATCATGTCTTTGAGCTTCGCTACTCAGGGTTTGTTAGTGTAGAACCTGCCCAGCCATATCCATTGATCTTGGCATGAATAAACTTTGAGGTTTGTTCATTTTGTTTTTCCTACTGCATACTACACTGTCCATATTTGTAGGCGCTAACTTGGTATTTGTTATGGGGGCAGTGCTAAGTAGATAAAATTACTAACATGGAGAAAATATATAGCAAAGAACTTATCATGGGATAAATGCTCAATGAATACCAGATCCCCTTTCCACCACCACCACCCCACACACTGTTGCCCTGTGTTTTTCTCTTATATCCTGTTTTTCTCCGTTTACCTTTACCCTGGGCTCTGAGAGTTTGATTGTGTCCTGTTTTTCTCTTATCTTCCTGTGCATGTTCTGGTTTTGAGTCTTAGACAACCTCAGGCTTGGTGATCCAGTTATGGGTCACTGGGGTTTGGGTTTGTGTCTCCACAACCAGTCCAGAAAGGACAGGACCTGAGAGGAAGCTATCACTCAGTCGTTGTATAAGAACTGGTTGGCGGAAGTGGTAGGAGCAGTCAGTTGACAGTTTGGACCTAAGAACTCAGGATGGCTCTTGTACTGTAGGAACTTCAATGAGAAAGCATGCGATCAAACCCAGAGCAACATTCCTAATGCTCCTTGCTTCCCTACACTTGGGTGTTCATTTACAAGGTAAGACAGACACACTCATTAAAGATTTGGAAAATGTGAAAATACTAAGAAGGATAAAAGGCATCTATTTGCCCACCCACCCAAAGAATCCAGTTTTGATATATTTTTTAACCATCTTTTGTAAGCCTGCATAAGTATTCATTTATTTTTAAAGAATTTGCATTTAACTGAACTTATAAGTCTGGGGTTAAAAATGCCTCAGGGAGAGGAAATTCTTATGTGGAATTACAGGGTTATTCCCATAATGAATGATAATGATTCATTATAAAATTGTTTGCTTTCAAGTTCCATCCAGATGCCATTAGTGAGGCAAACAGCACCTCATTCCTCTTGCAGAATCCTAGGTGTGACAAGTTCATCCAGGTGTCTGTGATGTGTTGGGTGTTAGGCTCCCCACCAAGCCATCTGTCAATCCTTTAGGACCAGATTTTACTGGTCTTGTGTCCATGGTTTCAAGTGAATTTCTTCAACAAGAGTGAGTGGGTGGTGTATATTATGATCCCCTGCACCCATGAAATTGCCTTTGTCCTGCTTTTATTTGTACAACTCAGTGAGATCAAACCCTTCACTCTTAATCTCTTCCCCTGAATATGCTATAATTTTAATCAGTAATCTTCTGGCCTTTTTTTACTACAGAAAAGCCACCTAATATCAGCTGGATTTTCATTATTTTACAGATACCCTCATTTGTGGTCTTTTTCAGTCTGATTGCTCTTTTCTTCCCTCCATCCTTGCTATTTAAAAATCATCAGGATGTTCTGAGATGTCATTCATTCTTCACTGACTGGCTGGGAATGCAGTGAGCCCTTTGGGGCTTTTATTACTGCTTTTGTTAATAGCAATAGTAGCACTTAGTTGAGTTCTAACTGGACATAAAGGTGGACATTGAACTGGAAAGACCTTGGAAATAACTGGCCTACGTGCAGTTTATGTCGGATTGTGTGGACAGTTTGAGTTAGTCTAGCTCATATATGGGATCCCTCTAACCACTCTGTGGAAGAATTAGGGATCTTATTTTATCTGGTACTCAAAGAACACTTATTAATCCATCCTACAGTTGTTCTCCATTTCCCTGCTGGTGCCAAAACAATGCAGCTTTCTCTTTGACCAGGATCTGAGGCGACTGGAAGGGAGTGGATCCTGGGGTCTACCCAGCTGTGGGTATGTGTCCTAGAATGGAATCCACCCTACAAAAGAGGCTTGCTAGGAACTAGGCTACAGGCTTGGCCTGTCCCAAACCACAGGCTCATTTCAGATCTAAGTGTGGTCCACCAGGTGATTCCAAGTAAAATAAACTGAGCTCCAGGAGTTTGCTCTGGTTGTCATTCAAAGAGAACCTTTAAAAAAGGGTTTGGTCAGCAGAGACCTCTCAGCTATGAATTGAGAATTAATTTTGAGTCCCCTTTATCCTTAAACAGGCGACCCGCTTGAAAATCTACTGAAATAAACCCCTCACGTCCTCTCTCCTCTAACGATATGGCATTATATGTCCTTCACTGCTGAAAAAGCACTTGGCTTCGTCAGCATTCATCTTCCGTTCAGTCTAAATTTATTTTTATGTGAAATAGAAATCAGGAAAACACCAAATTATTTTAAGCAAAATATCAAAATTGAAATAAACCAACATATGTCTGTGAAACATGTATAACTCTAAATCAAAAATAAGTGCAACTTTCATAAATTTCTTAAAATACTCCAGCATGCAAAATCTGAACCACTTAAATAGATGGAATTATGACATGTTTGATTATTTTTTCTACTTAGTTCATCCTTTAGTTAAAGGTGAAAATACCAATCAATCACAAAAACCTGGCCAGCTGTAGATCATACCCTCATGAAGAATGTCTTCCACCATCTATTTTAATAATTAAAGAACCAAGAATGTTTATAGAATCTGCAAAAAGACTAAGTAATCCCTGCTAATTTTGAATGAAAACCATCCTGATCTAATCTCCATCACTTATACTCTTTCTTATCTCATGCTTCCCCCTACATTCACCTCTAAAGAGTGAGGTTTCTTGATTGCTTTAAACATATTATACTTTGTTCTGGGAGGTTTTTTCCTATATTTTGAACTTTCCCTTCCACTGGGAACTCAAATGGGATTAAAACTGTCAAAGTAACATAAATATTCCAGGGCTTAGCACCAAAGGGAGAATTAAAAGATAAATCCCCATCTCACCTTTAGGCTTCATTTATAGGCTTTCCCTAACACATTTTCTTTATTAGATTGTCACTTTAAGGATTAGAATCACTTTGGCCCTGTAATAATAAATAGGAGCTGATATTTTTCCCACAGAAGACATTAAGTAAATGTTACTGTCAGTAAATATTATTGAAAACCTGTGACGCATTTGTTGAAATTCTCCAACCTTTCATTTTATTTCTCCTCTTTATGAATTGGATAACAAAATTTCTAAAAAATACAAATAAAAATTAAGCTCTTACTTCATGTGGAAAATGATTTAGTGCTAAATGAGTCGTCTGCTTTCTTGTTCCTTTTTGAAAGCATGTTAAGAATTTTATCTGGTTAACTTGACATCACCCTGCATGTGAACATGGTCACTCTTTGGGGAGTTGAAAAAACCCCTACAAGTTTATAGTTAAGGAAGTTTCTGATCATGTTGCTGTGGTGGACATGTGCTTTTTCATCTTAGACTCTTGGATCTTCAATTCTCTCTTTATTCTCATACTTTACTCTGACTTTTCTCATTAGTTTATTTGTTGTCAAAAAAAAGTTTCTTCCTTTCTAGTTCCTTCAATTTAGACCAATTTGGAAATGGAAAAGTGTGTTAATTTTTTAATAAATCTTTAAGACACACATTACTGTATTTTTATTAACTGAGCCAGATGGCTCACAGTGAATTTTCTCTGACATAAGTAATCACAGAAATCAGTTCAGGACCCAAATCTGGTAGAGAAAGTGGCATGTATATTCAGTGGAAAAGTGCACTTTGCATAAACATATGGATATTTTTAGACGTAATATTTGTTACTGTTTGGATTTCATTTCATTTTATTGTTTTAGGCTAAGTACAAACTAAGGACTCCCCAACTCCATTCCCCAGACTCAAGCATTCAAGGTCCTCAACAACCAAAACTTTTTTTTCTTTTTGCAGTTTGAAGGTTGCAAGAAGGCCTTTTCAAGGCTTGAAAATCTCAAGATTCACTTGCGGAGCCACACCGGCGAGAAACCATATCTATGCCAGCATCCGGGCTGTCAGAAGGCATTCAGCAACTCCAGTGACCGTGCCAAGCACCAGAGAACGCATCTGGACACTGTAAGAATGACAGGCACTTTTCCATCTTACAGCCTGGGTGTGAGGAAGTACCATTTTGATAGTGGGAAGGTGGAAGTGTTTGCTTTGTGGACTGCAGGTTATAGGGACATGCCAAGGGCAGCAGTGGAACCCAGAAGGGTGCCCAAAGAAGACTTGTGTGGCTGTTTCACTTTTGGTAGTTGCAGGTTATCCTAATTGTTACAACTTCCTAGGAGGTGTACAAAACAGAAGCAGTTGATGGGCTGTCCTGCAGAAGATTTTAGCCCAGAGGATGGGACATTAAAATAAATATTCAAATATCACGGCATACCACAATAGACAACACATGCTATTGCTAGAGATACAAGGTGTAGTTTTTGTTTGTTGACCTGGGTTCTTTTTCCTCCTGATGTAAGAACTGGCATGGTTTGAGAATGAATCTGGCCTTTTGCTTTAGAAACTACCTGGTATTTTCACCTTCAAGCAATCTAAAAAGAAATAGCGAATCTCTCCCGTGGGTTGAGTCTCATCATGCCTCCTCCGTGTTAATAGCCATATATCCTTTGACACCAACCCCATGAGAGCAGTTGACTTTTATTATTACAGCCTTAACTCCCTTAATGCTGCCACATTTTGCTCATTGGAAAATGCCTTCCCTCTGTAACTCTTGTCTTTTATTTTTCCAATTATGTTGATAGCTCTCCTTTTGCATTTCTCAGGCTTTGATGCCACTTTCCTTACATGAGACCAGGTAGACCTATGTAATTTTGCTTCACTTAACAAAGCCATCAGGATAAATGTATTATACACATCACAGATCTCTTATCCCTCATTCTTGCAAATAATGTATTCATGACAGTACTTTCTCAGTGTTAACATTCTGATGTCTATTATTAAACTACACCAGAGTTTGAATTTTGAAAAGATACTGTTATTTCTACACACCTTCTCATACATATTTAAGATTCTTCTGATGTTATAGTTGACATATTTATTAAATTTTATATTAGTCTCTATTAATCATATTGATAGAAGTCATTTTAGCTATATGTCACATAACCTTTCTAAATAGAATTCCCTCTTAATATATGTAAATATGATAATTTGCCTAGTAAATATCTGAAATACAGTTGAAACAATTAGTATGTGATGGGCCCTCTCTGCTTTAGTGGAATTGAATTTTGATTTTAGGGCCAATAGAATAGGATATAAAATGAATAAATGTGGTGAATAGTGGGATTTTTTTAAGTAGAAAAGGAAAAAAGAATAAATTATGTTAAAATGCCCTATTTTGTTGTGTCTAAAATGGTCTTGGTCAAATCCAATAAATTTTCCAATTTGTCATTAAACTTTATCATGGAAGAATGAACATTCATGAGACAAGATTGTCTTGAGAAATTGCTTCTACTCTAGCTAGTTATCTGTAGTTTGAAAGAACTATTGTGAGAATGAGTGTTATAGTTCTACAATACCCTTTTCTGCTTGGTGCTAATTTTAGCTAATCAAACAAAGAGCATTTTCAGAAATTATTTCAGAATTTAAAAATACGTATCTCTTTTAAAAACTTTTGAGGAAAGCTCCTAACATAATAAATTTTCATGATTTTAGTTTCATGCAGTAGCTTTTCCAACTCAGCTGTTTTTACTTTTATGAAAAAAAATCTTTTTTGATTAAATCTTTTTGAACTATCAGTTTTCCTTTTCATTTATCATTTTCATTTCATTTATTCATTTTTCATTTATCATTTTCCAAGCTAGCTCCTGTTTAAATTTTTAGTACATTTAACAAATTGGGAAGCCCTTTAAAAATATATAGAAATTAAACAACTTGTTTTAAAAAGCAAACTGTATTTGCTTGAAGAATTTCCAATTTAAATTTTAGATCCCTGTTCTCTTTCATTAATTACTCCTTATGCAAATGCTATCTTTCTTCAACTAAGGGGACTCTTTACTCATAGGATAATGATTTTCCCATAAATATTAGTGAGTTCTTAATCTAACCCTGAAGAGTTTTATTAATTCATTTCTCTGTTTCCTTGTTTGAAATCTAAGCAAGGTAAGTAATTATTCAGTACAAGTAGAAAATAATAAAATATATAGTTTAATAAAGTGTAGCATACCATTTAAGGCTTAGGTAATTTGAGATCAAATAACCATGACAGTATTATACTTAGGCAAGTTCCTGGCATTGCTGTTTTGTCACTCCAGTCCCAGGTGGCAGACAATAAGGAGAGAGTCAAGGACATCTGGGAGAAAGGGTGTGTATTCAGGCTTTCTCCAAGAACATCTCAAAATTAGATACAGAGTGACATGATGAACCTAAATCATAGTGGCATTGGTTTCTATAAAATGTTAATATTCATAAAGCCTTTTTACATGAAACATTCTGTCACACTCAAAGCATGAACTTATTTGGTCATAAGATATTGGCTACTTGCTCCCTTAAAGCCAAGGAGGAGTAGGTAAGGCTAGTTCAAGAAAGCCATCTTAGAAGAGATTCCCAAGTTTAAGAAACCTTCATTAATATAGTGGAAACTCATTGGTGAATGACTTTAGCCAATAATTGGCTCACCATTTTGTAAAAATTGAGGTATTAAAAATAAAAGCCTTGTTCATTGTTAGATTACCTAATATGTAATACAGCACCCAGCACATTCTACAAGCATGAGAGCTGATGGGTGATTCATTCATTCAGTCAGTCAGTTGGTCAGTGATCAAATATATCAGATATCAGACTTAGAATTCAAATGGGATGCACCAAATTAAATTATATATTCATGATTTTACTTTGTTCTCAGAATCAAAAATTGTGAAAAAAAAAAAAAAGTAGCAAAACCTAACTATTGCTTCCAGCAAGGCCAGTGATTTAATCTAGGTGACCGTTGGTCCACAAAATGATAAGCATGCACAGGAAAACAGAAGCACAACATGAACAGGGAAAAATTTACTTAATTTTTTGTCCGTAGTAAAGCAGATTTCTAGAGCAAGAATCCTACTTTAGAGACAAGGTTTCAGTTCTCCTTCTTATATTCACATCATGTAGGCACAGCTTTCATCTCTCACCTGATGAGATACTAAGTAGATCAGTGACAGTTAATACATCTTATAAACATAGTTAATCCTGTGATTATTTTTTTTCAGTTCTTGGAATAAGCAGAAGGTTTTGATTTATCTTGCAACCACAGAATCATAGTCTTAAAATCCTGGATAAAAATTTTGTCATTATACTAATAGTAGGTGATGATACTGAAACTTGAAGGGATGTGAAGTGTTCTAATTCATTCATTCATTCACTCATTCATTCCTAAGTGTTATGTACCAAGCACCAATGATAGAAAAATTAAACAGAACCTCAACTTGGGCTCCACACTGCACATCTCTCAGGAGCATGGGGAATTGGAATAGCCAAAATTCACGTTCCCATCATGCTCAGCCAAAAGCTTTTTCACTTCATGCAGGCTCAGCACCAGGACTGCTCTGCAACTAATAATATTAATGCCCTTCTGACTGATTTTTCGTGTCTGTTGTTTGAAACCTACTGTCTCTTACTCACTTTACACTAATTTTCCTTCTTCATTCTCTCCCTCTTTCTGAATCAGGTTTCTTCTGAAATATACCCAGTCTTTTCTGGACTTTTCTACAGCTTCTTTACCTGAACCCTTAAAGAATATGTGTTTACTAGTTTCTGACAGTACCAAAGATTGTTCTCAGGGAAACATAACTGTAAGTATGACTGGAGATGCTTACTAATAATTTCCACACTAAAAAATGCCACAAGAGGTTTTGTGGTTAGAGTGCAATCTAAAGCAATCTCTTAAAAGCCATCAAGGATAGGACATCTCTTTGTTCTAAAGTTTACTCTTTCCTTTACCATGATGCAAAGGTCCTGGGCTTTCTAATTAAAATGTATGAGTATTACCCAGCATTCTGCATCAATCAGTTGGTAACAGTTCATGCTCTGAATAGTCTTTGAGCAAAACCTTCCTCAGTTACCTTTATGATTTAACCACAGCTGTTTCTTTCTTTCTTTCTTTCTTATTTAGAAACCTTATGCTTGTCAAATTCCAGGATGTACCAAACGCTACACAGACCCAAGTTCCCTAAGAAAGCATGTGAAGGCACATTCTTCCAAAGATCAACAAGCAAGGAAAAAGGTAATTTTAAAAGAAAAATTTCAAGCCAGAAAAAGCACATTTAAAAGACTCTTGCAGAACTTAGAGATTCTGCAGGGCATTGGAAATTTTTATACTTCTTAACATGCTTAAGGTTTAGCATATAACTCTTTTGAGGAGGGAAGTCTTCCATGAAGTAATAGCAAGGCTGTGGTTTACAAAGCTGATAGAGCCAGATAAGAATTTCTGGGGAAGGCTTGTATAATAGGAATCAGAGAAAACTAGTGAAAATCATCTAAACTAGTAAGTAACAAAAGGCTTTTGTGGAAATTAAGTTTAAATGGCTAAAGAAAAATAAAACAAAAATCCTTTCTGGAGAGACGTTTTTTCCATAAATGATCATTTGGATGAAACCATTATAGCTCTAATAAAGAAGGTAGGTGAATTTCTAGGAAAAGAACATTCCTCATGTTAAGCTTAGAAAACTTCTTGATGACAATCTGAAAAAAAAAAAAAAAAGAAATCCAAGTCACTTTGATGTCACTGCAGGATGGATGCAATTTGCAAAGTTTATAAAAATCATAGTATCTCCAAAGTGGAATAAATGTTAAAGAACAAGCAGCCAGTCCCTGACCTGCTCTTCTGACCTCATGCAGGGCCACACATTGTTGGCACTCTGGGATTCAACACCACTGGCAACAGGGAGCTGATTTTCTTTCAAGGCGTTTCCTAGTAACTGAGTTTTAAATGTTTTTGAACAAACTAGTATCCTCTGTCCACAGCAGAAAACATATTTAGCTACCTTGGCTTTTGAGTGTTTCATTTGTATCGAGGTGGACACCTGATTCACTGAAGGGCCATTTATAGCAAAGTTAAGGACATTTTAAGATTCAACTTATTTCAAGTGATTGAACCCTGTGGCAAGGGTTTTTAGGTACCATGGCTTCTAGTTAGAAATCTTGCATCCATTCTTTCATGGCTTATAGGAATTTAACATGTGATGTTTGGAAATGTTCTATAGTTTTTTTGTGATGTGAATTTTTTCTGCCTTGAGAGGTGTTAGTACAATGCCAACCAAGGTCTCACACATGGAAAGAACTTGACCTCTTCGCTGTGAGTTAGAAAAATATTCAGCTAGGAGGATTTGACAGATATACTTAATTGCATAAAAACCCAATCTTGTAAATCAAATTCTAAATTAGTTATTTTTTTCTCTAGAGATGTATTTAAAATTTCCTTACTTGTAATCTTAATAAATTGATATCTGTGATCACTTGGCATGGATTGGATATATTCTTAAATTTTAGAAAAACAATGAAACTGCTAAGTATGTTAATAATGTAAATATAATTGGAAGGATGATGCTTAATCTTAAAATAACACACCATTGTCGAATATCATTAAGTACTTTCAGTAGGATCAGTGTCATTTTTGTCATTATCCATGTACACTTTACACGTTTGAAATAACAAATTATTTTTTTTTAAAAAAAGCTCTCTTTGATGAGAGGGTTATTACTCTAAGACTGACATTGTCTGTAAACAGGTTGTCCCAAATTTGTGAGGCTTCACTTGTAATACCAAATTTATCAGTAAGATTGGAAAGCACCTGTGTAGAATGTAACATGATCATCATGGACAGAGCAAGGACATTAGTTCCATATCTAAACAAATAAGCAAGATGATGTTAAATTTAAGAAGGTAACATTAGGTGTCAGATATAGAATATAGCATGGGATATTTTCAGAAATGTTTTTTTTAATTCAAATATGATATGTTTTAGCCTCATTATAATGGAAAATTAGTCTTGACAATGTGAAAGATTCTTGAAACACTAATTGAAAAAGAAAAACAGACCTTGAGACTACAAAATATAATTTTATTGATAATTTACTGACAATCTTCAACAGGCAATTAAGATGACAGGGGATACATTTTCAAGTAATATTATCATCTCATGTCAAAATTATGGTTCTTCATTTTTTTATGTAAAGTGAGATGTTATCTTTCAAATGATTTAGCTTTTGAGGTTCACTGTTTTCTTACAAATGGTTGAAATGGTTTTGGTTGACTTCCATTGCCCAGACCTAAATGACAAGTTTACAGTGTTTATTTTCCAAATTTTAACATGCCTTTTTATTTAAAAATGTGTTTATGAATCTGTGATGGATTAGCTTGTGGAAATCAAAATGATGAAAGTTGCTCCATCCAACAAAAAGAGGAAACATCCTCCCAGGAGAAGCAGTTGCTAATAAACCAGAAATCAGTCAATCCGCATTTCTGAATCTTGCACCGATATACTAGTGTGTTATATTTACATGGTACAATGTTGTTACTAGACCTTGGAGAGATTCTAATTGCTTACTCACATCAGGACTTGGTATTTGAAATATTTCCTGGCAGTAATCATAAAAAAAGGAAAGAAACAATAAACCTTTTAAGGCAGAATTAAGATTATTTATGACTTTAATTAAAAATTGAAAACTGGCATCATTTCAAAAAAGCCTTTACAAAAATGTGAATTCATCAAAAATAACCATAAAAATTCCAAGGTGATAAAGGCACAGTGGAGTAATGGTCCCAGCCCTAGGGAATTGTTTTGTTGAAAAGAATAAAACTCTTTTCTGTCACACCCTGTTAGTCACGGACTTGTTTAATATACCCTGCCTGCCTGCCTGCCTCTAATCCTCTTTTTAACCTCCCCTAGACACTAAATGACATTATTTTGGTCTTAACGTTGCCAGCTTTATGTGGCCCTACTCTGAAATCAGGGCTAGCAACAAAGCATCCATAGCCATAAGATTAATATATATCAGGAGAGCCCGAGAACTCATAAGTGATATTCTAGCCATGGGCATGTGGCCCTTTCCCACACCTGACAGATCCTATTGAAAACCAAGAAGAACCTGAAAGCTCAGCTAAACATTATTCAAGCTGTAAAAAGAAAGATGATGATGGAAAAAAGAAACTCTCCTCCTGCAAAAGAATTGGGATAATTTGGCTCATTGCATGCAGAGAGTAACTTTTCTCTTTGCATAAATCATGCACACCCACACATTCCATCAGCCAGTGTACAGACTTCATCCACTGAATGCACTTTGCAGTTTTCAAGTCCCTTGAAACAGACCTACACAGATAAATGGGTAGCGAAAGACTTAAGTCACCAGCAGTGGTCTCCACTGAGAATAAAATTTAGCCTATAGAGCAAAGACAGAACCTGTCCTCCAATTCTGTCTGATAATGAGTGAGTGAAATAAGAGAAAACTAAGGCAATAAGCCACTTGAAATTTTCCTCAAGGCTGTGAGCTTTATCAGAATTTTTCATTTTCACCTTGGAAGTGTCATAAGAGGGGTTTCCTTCAAATCTAGCCTGTTATCAAAATGGACTTTTAAAAAAGTGAATGCAAGGAATGCCTAGCCAAAAGTTAGAGGCAATAGGAATCTTTCATCCATTCTATACTTCCACAAGATCCCGAACTTTAAGTGTGATTTGTTCAATATTTGTTACACATTCACCTTTGGTTTGCCATGGTGGATGACTTTCATCTTATGACCTCAACACAGGCTCTTATAAACCAAGCTTAGCATTTGAAATGTGTGTGAATGCAGCATGTATTTATATTTCTGACTTAGAGGACAGCTCTATATAGCATTTTGGCTAAGGTGGAGTCACTTATTTAATGCAACTTTCTTCATGTAGAACTGGCAATTCTTTGGAATCTGTTCAGAGACAACACCTCTCTATATATATTTAAAACTATAAACAACATCATTAAGTACCACATAGGTTCACCTTGCTTTATGAAAAGTTATGTGAAAAAAATATTTGTCCCTGAATCAAAGCATGTATTAAAAGGACTAATGAGGTTCACTTTTTCTATCAGTTGTTTTCTGTCATGGTCTATATGGCAGGTGGCATGCACAAGTGAGGTATGCAATCAGGTGTCTTAATGGATTTTGCAATGCCTTTTCACTTTTCTTTCTTGTTTCTGCTCAGAAATAAATTATACCACTCCCACTAGTAGCAGAACATTAGTAATAGGCACATATCACAGACATATCATCTCAGGAAGAACTAGCCCACCCCTTCCTCTCACATTTACAAAATTATATGGAGTGCAAGTAAGTGAGAAGCAGGCTATTGTAGTGAAGATGTTCAAGCAGCACAATGTTCTTTAAAAAAAAAAAAAGAGCCACAAAATTCTGTACTTTTAACAATTTGCTGGTGACAAATTACTTACATCACACTTCAAAATGATGGTGACACATACCTAGATATCCTGATGCCTGAGTTAAGAGGAACTTATTTCAAGTAAGGCACAGGAAGATGCTTTAGTTAAACAAATATTTTTCAGTAAAAATAGTGGTGCTATTAAATTTAATTATTATTTCACCTTGGAAGTGTCATAAGACACTTATTAAATTTAATTGAAAGAAGTAATCTCAACTTTAACCCTAGGTCAGTAATACTGATTTGAACTTGATACCGGTTACCTGGAAGTTTGCATTTTAAGAAAGCCCAATAGAAGTCCAGCTTTGCTTTTGAGAGCATTTTGAAGCTACAAGGTGATGGGAATTATTTTAAAAGAGTTGAGACTCCAACTCCACATTTGAAAAAATTGGGGAAGGTTGTCAATGAGAGTGACCAGTGAATTAGAATAAGCTTCAAGTCCTTTCTTGAGTCATCAGAAAAACTCTTTCCACCCTTGTAAATACAGTATAACACCCACCATCTCTGGAGAGATGACCCAGGGTCTTATTTAGGGTGAAATTTGTTTCCTAAGGTATGTCCTTTGGAACACATTTCATAAGATGTTATTAGATATTTCCTTTTGCGGGGAGGGGTACCTGGGATTGAACTCAGGGACACTCGACCACTGAGCCACAACTATTTTGTATTTTTTTATTTAGAAACAGGTCTCACTGAGTTGCTTAGTGCCTTGTTTTTTTCTGAGGCTGGCTTTGAACTTGAGATCCTCCTGCCTCAGCCTCCTGAGCCACTGGGATTACAGGAGTGTGCCACTGTGCCAAGCTAGACATTTC